TCAGCAGGGAGCAACAAAAAAGGTGACTGACAAGAAAAGGTTAGAAGAACAGGGATTCTTTAAAATTTGGTGAAGAGAAGATGGGGGCAATACTGAAAGAGTGATTACAGAGGATGGTGGTTGATTAGCCTCTATAGGCATAGAAAGGACAAGAAATAAGTCTTAAATTGCAACAAAAGAAGCTTAGGTTGGATATTAGGAGGAACTTTCTAATTATGAGGGCAATTAAGTACTGGGACAGATTAGAGAAGCTGTACCATCTCCATCCTTGGAAGTGTTTGAAAGGCAAATTAGACTTCAGTCCCTTTGAAATGTTTAGACAGAAATGAGCCTGCCTTGAGCCAGGAATCGGAATAGATGACCTCCTGAGGTCCCTTCCTGTCCTACTTTTCTATTATTAATTTTTTTTAAATTCTCTTATTTATTTTTTAAAAGGAAGAAAAACGTGAATACTTATAGCTTTACATATTCACATAATAATGCCCTATTTAGGCATTATTTAGTATTTCAAGCATTTAGATTAGTAAATGCAAAGTTAAAATAATCCCCTAAACATATACTCACAAACCTCCTAAGTGTTCCCATTTCTCTTCCCATTTTAAAAGGAGAAAAAACAAAAACTTTTGTATATGGATTGAACACTATTTACTTGCATAACACATGCACACTTTTTTCCCCAGAAAAAAAGATGCATCTCAATTTTGGAGTGCTATTTTAAGTGGGGAGATTGATTTTTGTTTTTGCACTGGAACAGAAATGTAGAAGAACAGAAATATGGAGACACTGTGCTCTCATGGCTGCCAAAATGGCTCTCAATTTTCTCTGGCACAGCAAGAAGAATAGGCAAAGTCCAGTGTTAACCATCCATCTCACAACAGCTAATGAAGTGGTAGTAGCTATACTGGCTAGTCAGCCAAAAGCTGCTACGAATTCCTTATCAGCTGTGAGAGAGTTAACACTATAGCTTAAACCTGAAATCAGCAGTAGGCTCGCTCAGAGCAAATAAGCTGATGTTTCCAATCAACTATGACTCTGGAAAAAAATAATCTATGTTTTCCCCTATACATTCTGCTCTCCAAAAGTTAAGGTACGCGTTTTATTTTGGGGGGGGGGGGGGGTGTGACATGCAAGAAAACATGGTGTTCTTTTCTATCATAGGATCTTTCTTTGGTATCCTTTATAGAAAACTATAAAGTTGTATTAATATGATTAATAATTTGTGAGAAATCTTTGATTATTTATGAGTAAACAATGGAGAACACATTAAGTAATACAATGAGAATTACAACATTTCCCCTTAGGGTTTGTTTCTGCAAACGATAGGATCAGCATGC